AAAGCAGTTGAAATTCCATTAAAGTTACATTCATTTATCTAAAAAAGAGAAAGAAAAAAGCCATCTTTGGAAGTTTGTCTCTACAGACATCATTAAAGTGAGGATATGTACAAAACACATCTTACGTAACTCAAGATTAATGGCTAACTATTCAGGTGCAGATTTTTTACAGTGGGAGCTGATGCTTGGGAAAAAAAAATAAGAAAACATAGCCACTACATTAACTACCAAGTTACTGTGCATAAAATAAATATAATATAGACATGCCCCCATGTTTTACAAAACATCAGTTTCAATGCTTCTCAACACATCAATATTACCAACACTTAAAAATGCATTCAACTAGCCAATCTTAGGACAAGAAGACTGTGGAATTCCCTAATTTTCAGTATTTGAAGAAATAGGCATATTTTGATCCTATCACTGCTTTGTTCAAAAAGCAACCTCAAAAAGGCCTTTTTTATGTTTGGCTTATAATAACTAAAACAATATAAAGCTTGAAGAACAAATAAATTTATTTTGATGTCTAGTTAATAAAGTCAAAGGTACCATTACCCACCTCCATAAATAAAAAATAATCACCACAGTGATGTTGGTAATTTTTATTTAAAAGTCCATTTAGCAGAGGGTTGCCAGATTTAGAAAATAAAAACAGAGGAACACAAAGCAGAATTGCAGATAAAAATACAATGATTTTTTATTTATTTATTTATTTTTTGGCATAAGTATATCCCATGCAATGGTTAGGGCCATACTTATACTAAAAAATTATTTGTCGTTTCTCTGAAATCTGATGTACACTGGGTGAGCTGTATTTTATCTTGGAACCCTTGCCTATGATTGTTGCCACACTGTGGTTTGCTATGAAAAGCGTGGAAAGCCGGGTCCTATTTCTGGGGTCCAGGGCAAGTGCTGGGGTTTCTTAGCTCACTCCATCTGCTAACCTTAAAATTTTGGCACGTTAACAAGATCGGGAAATCTTCTTTTGCAGCAGTAGAATGCATTTATTAGTCATTTCACTTTCTTCAGAGGAGAGAGAGAGCTTACCCACCTGAGAAGAAGGTAAGAGCCAGCAAAAATAAGAAGAAAAAAAAAGAAAACTAGGAAAACCAGAAAGGAAAAGAATTTTAACCAGGAAGTAACATAATTAGGAATAAATAAGTTTAAAGCAAGCCTCTCCAAAACAACAACAAAAACACAAAATGTTTAGGATAATCAGATCCTTAGCAAGAAAACTGTAGTTTATAAGAAACGGAGACACCCATAGAAAGACAAATGAAAAAAATGACAAAGAAAATGTTGTATTTCTTCTCCAACAAACCAGTTTTTTTTTTTTTAAGTCTCTATCAGGAAGTTAGACATTTTGTGGGGCAGCAACTTACTAAGACACCACATCTGTCTTTCCAGAGCCTGATTAAATGGTTGGCTTTACCTACAGTTGATGGTGAAAGCCTTTTTCCTTGTTTGGCTTACTCATGCCACGAGGCCCATCCTACTCTTCTGCTAAAATAAGATGAGCTTCCATGGTTTTTCACCTTTGGTGCTAATGATATTATCCTCAACCACATGAAAACCCACCTGGGATACTGTATAACCAGGAGATACGTTCTCCTGACCTTCTATATCTGCATTTCCCAGGGCACTCTCTGCCAAGGTCTGACAGAAATGCAGATTCCTCGGCTCCTAGTGTTGCCTCCTGACTGATACTCCACATTTTCCCACACTTCCCTCATGACTGTAACCCCAGTACATGTGGAAACCACAGGCTCGGAGGCTTGGGCTTGCTTGGATGGAGGAGGTACAAACAGTGGGCTTTATTTTTGTTTGGAATTCGGTTGTGGTTTTGGCTTCTCTACTGAAGAAACCAAAGGAAGGGGGAAGGAGATCACAGAAATGTTAGCTCTATGAAAAGGAAAGTGACGAGCCTTGCTACTGGTACTATCAGGACAATCATGAATGTTGCGTTACATGGATTAAACTTTTCTTTTTTTAAACAGACAGGGAACTCTCAGGAGAGGTGACTCTTTAAGAATCATTACAAATGCAAACAAAATTTTTTTGATGTAAAGGAGTATCTGTATCAAAATTGTGAAAAAGAAGACAAAGAGAATGAACTCTTACAGTTTATAGACTGACATGGTGGAAAACTATAATTCAGGGCCGAAGTTTATTAACGCTGAACCTAACTCTTATTTTTATAAATAGAAAATTTACTGTTGCCTTTTTGTATTACAGATAAATAGTTGGCCCAGTTTTGAGCAAGGCAACATTTCTGTTTGTTTGTTTGTTTTTAGGAAGCACCCTCATTGTTGAAGATGAATTAATCATCTTGATGGCCTATTTCTTAGTAGGAAACAGATCCATTAGGTGTGTGATCCATTGAAATCAGGAATGAAATACTTAGGGAAAAGGAAAAAAGAAATGTGCAGCATGTGATAGCATGGAATTAATCTCCAGTATATGTAAACATAAACACACACTTGGACCTTGAAATTAAGAAAAAGAAAAAGGCAAAATATTCTGCCCTTCTTGGACTCAACGCATCCTTTAAAAGTTAATTTCTCTCCTTCCTCTCTAAATACTTTTGGGAAGTGGGCTTCAAATGTTATCCTCCTAAACTCTAGGGTTTCTCTATAGGGTCTTAGGAGTGAATCTGTGAGACTCAGGGGATTCCTCTTACCCATCCCTATCCTGATTCTAACCCCAATCCCATCCCCACCCCAGTGTCTGGACATAACAATAATTGTTTTATTTTAGTTGTTCCCTGCAATTGCCTTCTACCAAAGACCAGTGAAGCTGATTTTCCATTTATGGAAATGACTTTAAAAATCCCTTTTAAGAAAGAAGTGCTGTGTGGCGGTTACTCGCCAGATCCACAGGCATCCCTTGTAAGTTCAGTGCCATGAAAGCTCAGACCATTTCCTTAATTTCTCCACACCTAAATGTCTTCATTTACATTAACAAATGGGGAGTACAACTCATAACTTACCTCATAAACAAGTTGGTTATGAGGAGTGAATGAGTCAACACACCTAATGAAATTAGAACTGTTCCTAGTCCCTAATAATGAACTTCAGCTACTACTGTATCTGTTTCGGTACCTGGGCTTGGTACAAGATTTTATTTGAGTGAACATTCTACTGACTACCTTTAAAAAGTTTTTGAAAAGACAACTGCTTTAAAACGGTATTTCATAATCTACGAAAATGAGTTTCTCCTTTTGTCCTTTGGCCAGAAGTCAAATCCCACCCCCTTTCCTCCATTAACCCTGAACTCTAAGCGTTAAGAACTCATTTCCCTTCCTTCCCCAGACCTGAATTTCCGTGGTGCCATGGGATAAGGATGAGGATGATGTCATTATAGTTGTAGAAACTATTTCATTATAATCTTTTGTTACTTTCTTGCTAACTTTCTAAAGGGAAAAACATTTCATTAATTATCAAAGTACCCGGAACCCTTTGGGAGCTACAACTCCATATAAAACTATTATTATCACCCACATTTGGTGAAGTATTTGGGGATTAAAAGTGTTATGTAAATGTTTACACATGATTACGCTGTGGTCTAAGATTCATGGTGGGACAACATAGACAGCCCAGGAAGAAGCTTGAAGTTCCAGAAAGGCAATGATTTTTGTACAAGGTATGAAATGCTCTTTTAATTTTAGTCTAAAGACAGTTGCACTTCTCAAGAAAGTCACTCACAGCCATTAAGGAAAGTATCCATGACTGCTAAAGAGAAAACAAATCTAAACAGAAGGTTAGCTGCCTATCTTAAGATCCACGGGTCCATGGAGAACAGGGTGGTAAGAAAGGGATTTAAAACGCTGGGATAGGCGTTTGGAGTGGCAAAAACTTTCTGACAGTAAAAGCAACCTGCTTCCAAAAGCTGTGGGAGCATCTTCCCCTCAGGAAAGAACAGAGACTCCCTTTCTTAGAAGGCTCTGCTTGAAGGGAAGAAGTTGGGACCTTTCCTCCGGGCTGATGCTTTCAAGTAATAAGGACATGACAAAGCACTGAACCACAACATGTTTCCTTGCAGTCTTCCCTCTTCCTTCTCAGGGAAGTGTCTGGCTGGTGCAGGTATGTTCTTAACACTCTTAACATTGCAGAAACTCTCTTTGCAACACAGAGGGAAAAAAAAGACCTAAATCAGAGCCTTTAGCTGGTCTCAGTGTCTGGGCGTAATAATAATTGTTTTATTTTACTTATTCCCTGCATTTGCCTTCTACCAAAGACCAGTGAAGCTGATTTTCCATTTATGGGAATGACTCTAAAAATCCCTTTTAAAATAAGTGTAAGAAAAAGAAGAATTTAATATAAAGAAAGACTATCAAGTAAAGCTCGTGTTGCAGGCAGCTGCAGTAGAAATCTTGACGGACCGGCCAGCCAAGGTCCGGAAGCCACTGGACCAGATGATTTCAAGGTCGGCTCCTTCCAGGATCCTGAGGACAGGAGGAAGAGCTTCAGCTGCAGAGGTCTTAGTTCCAACCAGGACCCTCCAAGCCTAGAAGCCTCTGCTTAAGAGGCAGTATGTATGAAAACAAGAAATCAGTACAGTCCCAAAGAACCCATAGAAGGGGAGAGGGATAAGGAGACAAACTATGAACAAACAGTACAGGAAAGCAATACTGCCCAGATATTTTAAAACATCTCTCATGCACAGTTTCAAATAATTATTGGAAGGATGTTTGGTTTTCGATAAATGACAAAAGATACACAAGGTGGTGGGGGGTGGGTTGGGGGGAGCCCATACCCTTTTCTCTTCATGTTTAAAGAGATTCTGCATTTTCTCCTTCATGTTATTTAAAAACACAAGAAAGCCAGCAAAGGGTGGGGGAGCAGTGTAGCAAAAAATCTCTGCCAGAAAGCACACAGTAAAGTCTAGCTTGTAAGCAGCCCTGTTCCAAATTATTTTTAAAAAACAAATCCTAACAGTAACGTAGTTACAGCCTCTGAGGGTAGCTCTAAGCCCAGTGTCAGAGTCCCAGAGCCTAAGCCACGAAAAAAGGAGGAAAGAAAGCTAACCAGTCTCCTGCCAGGAATAAGAAAAGCAAAATCTCCGAGGCAGGAGAAATACCCCCAAGGAGGCGAAGGCTGCAGCTTGCAGTAATCTGTGAATGATTGCTGGTAAAGTCCAGAGGCTTCAGGCTTGATCTGTGTTTGTTCCCAGAGAAAGCCGAGGAGGACGGTGTTAATAAAGAGAGATTTAAGTGAGAGCTGTGCTTGGAATAAAGTGGGCTACAAAAAGGTCAAATTTGATCAGTTGGAGCAGATTACCGGGGCTTTAAAAGGTGGTGTGGAGCTGGGGTGTGGAGCTGGGAGTCGGGTGTGGGACGGAGGAGAGCGCAGGATTGATTTGCGGGGTGGAGAGAAGTCAGGAAAAGTGCGTGTCAGCCCGGGAAGGAGGGAGCCGCGGGGCGCCAGGGCCCGGCCTGGGTCCAGAATCCTCCGTCTGTTCCCCAGCACCCCATCCCCGCCTCCTCCTCTCCGGACTCGCCCTCAGCCGGCTCCTAGACAATGGTTTCCTTGGTCTCTGACTTGGATCCTCTGAAAAACTGGAAAGTTTTAAGGTAGGCCTGCTTTGCTTTCTCTCGCATCCTGGTTTGAGTTCACAGCCAAGGCCCTGCCCCCGCCCCACCCCTGTGCAGAAGTGGTTGGGGTTGCTTGAAATGCACCTTGTGGGGTTCCGGCATGAGCAGATCTGCTAGTGGGAAGACTGCTCGGAGGCAGTTGTGTAAGGAGTGGCCTGTGAACGTGAGGTCCTCCAGTTTCACCCCAGGAGGGAGGTGGGGCTGCCTTGGCAATGAGGGAGGACAATCTTATTTAAATGACACCAGCCAACTCACTGGAAGGAGTCCTCATATTGAATTTTGGGGCTTCAGAGGGGCATTAAAGGTGTGAGATGGAATGTGGTCAACTTTCTGGGACTTCAGATAGAAAAGCGAAATTTGGCCAGGTGCGGTGGCTCACGTCTATAATCCCAGCACTTTGGGAGGCCAAGGTGGATGGATCCCTTTGAGGTCAGGAGTTCGAGACCAGCCTGGCCAACATGGCAAAAAACCCTGTCTTTACTAAGAATACAGAAATTAGCCAGGCGTGATGGTGGGTGCCTAGAGTCCCAGCTGCTTGGGAGGCTGAGTCAGGAGAATCCCTTGAACCTGGGAAGTGGAGGTTGCAATGAGCAGAGATCACACCAGTGCACTCCAGCCTGGGCAACAGAGTAAGACTCCATCTCAAAAAATTAAAAAAAGAAAAAAGAAAAAAAGAAAAGAAAAGCAAACTTTTCCAGAAAGCCTTATTAGGGTCCTTGAAGGGTCAAGGGAAACGTGGTCTCCTCCTCTGACCTCTCCCCTACCCCCATCCCCACCCCCATCCCCACCCCCAGGCCTCACCTGATGGTGAAACTGAATGGGCAGAATGTGTGACATAAAGTCTTTTTCTGAATGCTCCTAAAAAAGTGAACTCTGACCTCCTCATCTCTCAGAGGCCCAGAAAAATTAGAACACAAGGAGCTAGAAAGGGCAAAGTTCATGCATCTTCTCTAAGCTGACTCCCTTGGCAGAGTTAATTCTTGGGCTTCACTGACTCTAAATGGTATTTCCTAGCAAAAGCGTGTTTGGCAATTTTTGAAATATGAAAATGTTCGATTGAGGGATTTTTTAAAAAGTGGTTCTGCACAGTGTCATGTCTTCCAAATACCTACCCCAAAACATGGCTTCATAGGAGCTAGACCAGAACCCAAATAAGAAATACAAATGAGGAGAAATGTGCGGATGTTACTGGAACTTCTTTTTCCTGACATTTATGTTGTATTAATTTGCTAAGCTTTTATTTCCTATTCATGACTTCTGTCTTCATGTTTGTCTGATTCTGTTATTTTTAAGAATAAGATTATAGAAAAGAGCAAATTTAAAATTGCCAATATCCATCTTAATTATTCTGTTTTTAAAAAGTACTGCATGTCATTTTCTAGAACTTTCCATGGATGCTTTTTGCACATCAGGTAGTATGTGCTATTTTATAATCTGCTGTTTCCAGCTAACATATCAGACATTTTCATGTTTCCACGTAACTTTCATAACCACCATTTTAATGGCTAAATAAACCACCATAATATTAATGTAAATTTTTTTTTTGAGATGGAATCCTGCTCTGTTGCCCAGGCTGGAGTGCAATGGCATGATCTCTGCTCACTGCAACCTCCACCTCCCAGGTTCAAGCAATTCTCCTACCTCAGCCTCCCAAGTAGCTGGGATTACGGGTGCCCACCATCACACCTGGCTAATTTTTTGTATTTTTAGTAGAGATGGGGTTTCATCATGTTTCCCAGGCTGGTCTCAAACTCCTGACCTCAGGTGATACACCCTCTTTGTTGAAAATTTAGATTGTTTCCACTCCTTAATTTGTACTAACAACAACATAATGAACATCTTTGTGTACCTAGCTTTTTACTTTCATTAAATAATTGCCAGGATTTCTTGATGAAAGTTACCATTTCATGAGTCCTTCAGTGATTTTTTTTCTGTTTGCATTTTTAAACTTTAATTATTGAAAAATGGTAAAGTACTTCTGTAAATGTTCTTAGGATACATCTATTAGAATAAATTATGCTTTCCTTTTTTTTTTTTTTTTAACTGGATTACTAACCTGTCTCTAAAACTGAAACACTTCCTACAAGTGCTTTCAAACAATTTTTCTCAGGCGATTAACTGAATATTGTTACACCAGTGGATAAGGCAGGCTCTAGCTCTAAGAATGTATGTGACTATGGTTATAGATTTTGAAACATGTATCCCCCCAAAGGCCTTTTTAGATAATGATCTCAAGTCTTAACTCATTTTTAAAAAATCAGTGAGAATGTTGTCTTTCCCCTAAACATGCCCCAAACTTAAGTGAAGCTTAGTTTTGCTAGAGTAAGTGAAGTTTCAAAAACTTGGACTGGCGAGACCTGGGAAAGAGAAACATTTTTACATTGACTCCTTTGGCTATACCAAGTTCATTCTGTCCACACCTCTTTTTGGCAAGCATTATCCCACTGGCTTTTTAACTGTGTGTAATCCTTTTCTAAAGTCAGGAACCATAAAGGGATAGAATTTATAAATTGCATTTTAAATTCCTTAATTGTTTACAACAAGTCATCCATTTGGCTAATTTTGCTTCACTGAACAGTTTACTCGCCACCAATAAGTCTCTGCCTATAATATGTGGAAGAAGCAAAAATAAAACACAACCTGATAAATGGGTGATCTAGCAGGAGAATGAGGTGTGTACTCTAATGCCACATAGCAGGATTGTCTGTGATCTGAGTTATGTCAATAAAATGCTTTAGAAATCCAGAGAATGAAGTGAGAGGCCACGTTCTGCTAAAGAGAAAGAGCAGTTACTGTCCTCATCTGATTAACAAATGAGAAGAACATTTGATATGTAAAGCATATTACGAGGCAAAAAGGCCTTTAAACCTGCATAACCTGGAATATCTTCATGTGTTTGGTCCAGGAGCTCAGCCTAGAGTTCTGCCAAACCTGTTGCTCTTAAGAAGTCATCTCAAGGCACAATTTTAAAACCTGCTTACACCACAATATAGTGTTTTAGAAGATGGTCTGTTTGCAGGGCACAATTTCAGGTTATAAGCATTTTTCAAGAACTGTCTATTTGAAATCACTCCATCCTTATTCCATTTTGTTACATGGAGAAACCAAGGGTGGTCGTAGTGCTACTGCTTGTGTTTTAATGACTGTCTAACCCAAGGGACATAAAAGAAACCTAATTTTCACCAAAAGACATGCCAATAATTTTCCACATTCTCCCATTTGACCCCTGAGAAAGTACAAACACTCCAGCTGCATTCAAAGAAAAAAATGCAAAAGTTAAATAAAGTATTCTTGGTACACAGAAGAAAAAAGTTGACACTGTATTAGACCTATGACTAAAAGAATAAAATAGGCTGGGTGCGGTGGCTCATGCCTTAATCCCAGCACTTTGGGAGGCCGAGGCGGGCGGATCATGAGGTCCAGAGATCGAGGCCATCCTGGCTAACATGGGGAAACCCTGTCTTTACTAAAAATGCAAAAGTTAGCTGAGTGTGGTGGCATGCGCCTGTAGTCCCAGCTACTTGGGAGGCTAAGGTAGGAGAATTGCTTGAACCTGGGAGGCAGAGGTTGCAGTGAGCTGAGATTGTGTCACTGCACTCCAGCCTGGGTGACACAGTGAGACTCCGTCTCACAAAACAAAAAAAAAGAAAAAAAAAGAATAAAATAATCTTGAAAATACGCTGAGTGCAAGATGAGATGTTTATAGATATGACTTGAGAGTAAAAAAGTTGATAGGAAGATTAAGCAGGGAGTGGGACCCAGAATATCTGTTGTCTCCTTTACCCATGCATAAGCCCTAAGTCACCTCTGGGGAAGGATTAAAAACCCCCAAATCGAGTTTAACTCTTCCATTTAGAGGTAAGAGAATCGATGAATTGACTAAAAGAAGTCACAGAACTCATTAGCCATGCAAGCTGTGGCCAACTCTTCCAACTCCATCTTCTCTCCTGAGGAATGTCCTTCCCCACCTCCACTTCTGTTTCCCTTTCTCCTTCAGCTTTCAGACAGCTCAGCCCAGTTACAAGCCTTAAAGATGTCAAAAGCTCAACAGGTTATAAACTCTATCTGTAATGTCCCCCCAAGAACTCATTGGTTTCCAGCTCTAGTAGGTTTATGAATTACAGCGATCTAGCCAGGTACTCAAACTGGAAAGATAGGCCATCTCCCTAATCCCCCATTTTCCCTCTTAATTTACATCCAAACTATTGCCAGCTCCTACTGAGTTCGACTCCTAAGCACCTAGGGACTCTCTCTCCACTTTTTTCCACCTTCCATTGATAACATCTCGTTTTGCTAAGATTGCTACCCCCTAACCAGTCTCCCTGCTTCACTCTTGCTCTCTTAAACAATTTCGCACATAGAGGAATGAAAGCATTACAAACGCCATAAATCAGATCCTGTGACTTCCCTACTAAAACTTCCCCTTTACTCTCAGAGTCAAAGCCAGTATCCTTATTTTAACCTGCAAGGCCCCATCTGGCCTGACCCTTATGAACCTCTCCGCCTGAATCTCCTCCCTCTCTCCCCACAGCTCACATTGCTCCAGTCCTGCTGGTCTTTCTCTTTCTCAGTTATGCAGCCAGGCTATTTTGGCTTGATTTTCATTAGCTACTCCCTCTCCCTGCCTGGCAATCTTTCCTTAGCTATTGGCGGGGCAGAGGCTGCTCCTCATTCAAGCCTTAGCTCCCATGTCATCTCCTCAGTGAGCCCTTCCCTTGACCTCCCAGTTTAAAGCCAAAAATCAATCTCTAGCACATCTCCCTGATAGACTGAATCATAGGCAACAGCCAGTATTCAACTATGTTTGACTTATAAAAACGTTCACTTCATATGGTTCAGCTAATATTCTCATCACAGCATTGCTAATATCTGCCATCTGCATATATATTTGTTTACTGATTATCTCGCTCTCATATTAGAATGCATGGTTTGTGTATTTGACTGTGATATACCCAGTATCTAAAAGATTTCCTAGCACA